CAATAAAAATATATTTTAAAAAATTTTATTTCAGAGAGAAACTGAGAGGGAGACAGAGATGGAAACATCCATGATGGGAGAGAATCACGGATAGGCTGCCTCCTGAATGCCCCCACAGGGATCGAGCCTGCAAACCTGCAGGTGCCTCACAGAGGATAGAACCCTGGCCTCCTGGTTCATAGGTCAATGCTCAGCCACTGAGCCACACCCGGCCTGGCCCAGGTTTATGTAACAGAACGAATGGCACAGACACTAGGATTGCTGAGATCTGGTGAACTGGCTCACACTTTCTCAATAATGAACATGAGTGCCCAAGCTGGTTTGGCCCAGTGGGTAGAGCATCAGCCTCAAGACTGAAGGTCTGATTCCAGTCAAGGGCACATGTCCGAGTGGTGGGCCCAATCTCCAATGTGGGCCCAATCCCCAATGGGGCAAGCAGGAGGAGGCCAATCAAAGATTCTCCCTCATCATTCATGTTTCTATCTCTCTCCCTCCCTCTCCTTCCTCTCTGAAATCAACAAAAATATATTTTTTTAAAAATGAACGTGAGCTTCTCCCTTCAGGAAATATCACCTGGCAGGTGCCAACTGACAGTCCTGTTGTCTTGATACAATGTCAGCCCCCAAGAGAAAACCAGAATTTGGGGACAAGGTGTGTCCCACCACGTGAGCTAGACCGCTCCCCAGTGCTGACACGCTTTTCTAGGGGGCTCTGTGGGAACAGCAACACATGTGAGCTTTGATGCTGTGATTAAATGCATCAGCACGGGAAGGTCTCTAGGACTGAGAGACACAAGGCATCACTTTACATAACCTGCATGAGGACAAGAGCCACCCAGCAAGACAGCCCTGGGGACTGTGACAGAACAGAACAGAAACTATTCAATATTCCCCAGCCAGCGGGGCTCGGTGGTTGAACATTGACCTATGGACCAGGAGGTCAGAGCTCAACTGTTTGTCAGAGCACATGCCTGTGTTGTAGGCTCCATCCCCAGTGTGGGGCATGTAGGAGGCAACCGATCAATGATTATTTCTTATTATTGATGTTTCTATCTCTCTCCCCCTCTCCCTTCTTCTCTGAAATCAATATAAAATATATATTTTGTAAAAACATGACTTCTGTTAGCATCTCACAGGCAGTGAGCATGCGACCTGGATTAATAACTGCTTCACCCTGTGTGATCCGTGAGGGGTCACTATGATGACGTCACCACACACACAAGGTTATCTGGGCGCCCGCCTGTGTGTGAGGCCTCACAGAGATGGTGACACCAAAACCTTGGAAAGTCCCTGAACAGCACAGCGCCTGGGCCAGGCCTCGGGGACAGTGTGACGGGCGCCCCGCGCAGGAGGAGGGTCAGGACCGAGTCCCAGGGCCCAGGCCTGCGCTCAGGGCTCCGCAGGGGACAGAGTCTGGGGGGGCATCTCCGTGGTGGGGACTCCCCAGCGCCCTGGTTTCACTTCTCCTCTCCCAACCTGTGTCGGCGCCTCCTTCCTGGAGACTCGTGACGCGGTTCCAATTCTCACTCCCATTGGCTGAGCCGTTTCCAGAGCAGCCAATCAGCGTTCGGCGCGGCTCCCGGTTATAACTCCTCCGCGGAAGCGCCCGGACTCAGACCTTCCCCCGGACGCCGAAGATGCGGGTCCTGAGCCCCCCCACCCTCCTCCTGCTGCTCTCGGGGGCGCTGGTCCTGACCCCCAGCTGGGCCGGTGAGTGCGGGGTCGGAGGAGGCGGGTGCGGGAGGAGCGAGGGACCCGGCGGGGGCACGAACCTGGGAAGGCGCGTGACCAGCCCCGGCCCTGCCCTCCGTCCGCCCCCCAGGCCCCCACTCCCTGAGGTATTTCTACACCAGCGTGTCCCGGCCCGGCCGCGGGGAGCCCCGCTTCCTCGCCGTCGGCTACGTGGACGACACGCAGTTCGTGCGGTTCGACAGCGACGCCCCGAATCCGAAAGCGGAGCCGCGGGCGCCGTGGATGCAGCAGCCGTGGGTGGAGCAGGAGGACCCGGAGTATTTCCACCGGAGCACGCGGATCTTCAAGGGAGCCGCACAGATTGACCGAGGGAACCTGCAGACCCTGCGCGGCTACTACAACCAGAGCGAGGACGGTGAGCCGCGCGCCGTGCCCGTCACGACCCCCCTCCCCACGGACGGGCCGGGGTCGCCCCGAGGGTCCAGGTCGGAGCGTCACCCCGAGGCGGTGGGACCGGCCCGGCCCCCACCCGGGAGGAGCGGCGGGGACTTTGACCCGATTTCACTTTCAGTTTTAGATTCAGTCCCCGCGGGGCGAGCGGGGCGGGGCTGACCGCGGGGCGGGGTCAGGGTCTCACACCATCCAGAGGATGTTTGGCTGTGACCTGGGACCCGACGGGCGCCTCCTCCGCGGGTACAATCAATACGCCTACGATGGCGCCGACTACATCGCCCTGAACGAGGACCTGACCTCCTGGACCGCGGCCGACATGGCGGCTCAGATCACCAAGCGCAAGTGGGAGGCGGCCGGTGATGCAGAGCATTACAGGAGCTACCTGGAGGGCCTGTGTGTGAAGTGGCTCCAAATTTACCTGGACAAAGGGAAGGAGACCCTGCAGCGCGCAGGTACCAGGGGCCCTGGGGCCGCCCCCTCTCCCCGGGCCTGGGGCTCCTACAAGGAGACAGGACAGGGGGTCAGTGTCAGACACCCCTCCTCGGGTCAGGGAGGGAGAACCCTGGATGTCCAGGTCAGGTACCAGAGGGACCCCCCTACTCCCAGGGACAGTGAGGGGTGCAGGCTCTCCTGGGGTGCAGGGAGACCCCCCTGAAATAGCCCATCAGCGGTTCCCATGGGCCCTGCAAGGGCTCTGGGACCCACCAGAACCTTCTCTCTCAGGCCTTGTGCGCTGCCCCCACCCACTTGGTCTCAGGCCTGACCCCAGCTTTTCTGAGTCACATGGCCCCCTCCCTGGACTGTGTGTCTCTGATTCTAGAACTTTCTAAAGTCTAGAAGGTCCTTCCAGGTGCCTCTGTGCAGGCTGGTGTGTGCGCTGTGTGCTCCCTCCCCCACCCCAGGTGTCTGTCCACTCTCAGGACGGTCACATGGGCGCTGCTGGAGTGTCCCATGATGGTTGCAAGTTTGTCCATTTTCCCTCCTCCCCTCAGACCCTCCAAAGGCTCACGTGACCCACCACCCTGTCTCTGCCCGTGAGGTCACCCTGAGGTGCTGGGCGCTAGGCTTCTACCCTGCGGACATCAGCCTGACCTGGCAGCGTGACGGGGAGGACCAGACCCAGGACATGGAGCTGGTGGAGACCAGGCCTGCGGGGGACGGCACCTTCCAGAAGTGGGCGGCCGTGGGGGTGCCCCCTGGAGAGGAGCAGAGATACACGTGCCACGTGCAGCATGAGGGGCTGCCCGAGCCCCTGACCCTGAAATGGGGTGAGGAGGGGCCGTGGGCACAGAGCCTCTTCTCAGGGGAACAGGGGCCCTGGGGGACCTCAGTGGGGTCGGGGCTGAGGCCTGGCGTCCGGGCCCTCACCCTCCCTTCCCTTCTCCCCCCAGAGCCGCCTTCTTACACCTTCTTCATCATCGTGGGCATCGCTGGGGGCCTGGTTCTGCTGGGAGCCGTGGCTGCAGCTGTGATGTGGGGGAGGCGGCGCTCAGGTGGGCAGGGGTGGGGTCTGAGTGTCTGTCCCACTGGGGGTTCAAGCCCAGGTAGACGTGTCCCGCCTCCTTCATGGGAAGCACCATCCCCACACGTGTGATAGCCAGTGTGGGGCTCTGTGCTCACACTTACTCTGTAGTGAGGCCCGTGGGAAAATGAGGGACCCACTTATCACCTGATGATGCTGGTGGTGGGGACCCCGTTCCCAGTAGCCCCAGGTCCGAGGGCAGGTCCCTGCTGAGCACAGACCTCCAGGAGGGCGGTGGGTCCACACCCCACACATGCACTTCCCTCAGTTTCCCTGGTCCTGCCCTGGGTCTATAAACAGGGTTCTGGAAACTTCTCTGGGGCCCAGGACTAAGGATTGCTTTAGGACCTCATGGCCCTGCCTCCTCCCTGGTCTCTCACAGGATGTTTTCTTCCCGCAGGTGGGAAAGGAGGGAGCTACTCTCAGGCTGCCAGTGAGTATGGAGGGGGACCCCTGAGTCCCTGTGACAGTGCAGATGGGAGCCATAGGGGACCCCCCCCCCATAGTTCCACCTTAGTCTCCTGCCCTGGGCTCTGACCCTCTCCTGGTGTGCCCCCCGCCCCCCAGGTAGTGACAGCGGCCAGGGCTCTGATGTGTCTCTCTCGGCTTCTAAAGGTGAGACCCTGCCGTGGGGAGGGGTGGGCAGAGGGGAGGACTGGGTGGTGGGGAGTCTGTGGGACACTGTGAGCATGAAGTGGACTCTGAGAATGTCACCAGTTACAGCCACTGACCTGAATGTGTTCATGATGCTTGTCCTCCACAGCGTGAGGCAGCTGCCTTGTGGGGACTGAGTGATGGAAGATGTGTTCACACTCCCACTTCCTGACTCAAGAACCTCTCATGGGGGGCTGGCCTGCTCTGCTCCCCACACTTTCCTGTAGGCAGAGGCGGGCTGGGCCCTCCCCATCCCTGCCTTTACTCCCTGCTGCTCTGAGCTGCAACTTCTGCTTTGTATTGAAATGAGACTGTGGATTGACCTTGTGTTTTCATTCTTGCCGTGACTGGTGACGGGTAATTAAAGGAGACCCTTTAATTAATTATTTTCTCAGAGGAAATAAATGGAAGCACCAAGGATTCTGCGGATTCCTGTGTATTTTGTGCTCTTTGCAGGGGGGACGGGAGAGGCTGTGAGGACAGAGTGTGGTCGGGGCCTGTGCACAGGTGGTGCTCAGTGCATTGTAGTCACTCCTCAACCGGGTCACCTCTCAATCGAGTCACCTCTCTGCTCCTCTGACCTTGTCCCTCAGTGTTCCCTGTCCCACCAGGACCTGTGGTCACAGGGACACACAGGCCTTGTCACTTGTTCGAATGAATCACATTTCCAGGCCCCTCGTCATCCAAGGCTCATGTCTCGGTCAGTCCCTCAGAACCTCTCTTCTGGCTGTTTGTTGTTTCTTTGCTTTTGTGGATATGATGCCTGTTACTGTGTTTGTGTAGGAGTTTTGGTCTCATTCTCTGGGTGTCCCCGTCTCACAGTATCAGGGCTCATTTTTGCCGTCATTGTCCCGCTGGCTCAGGGGTCCCTGCACACAGGACTCTGGTTGGAGAGATACATTTCAGGCTCCTCCTGCTCTTGCCTCCTTCTAGGGCCTGAAGGTTCCAACTCTCTGATCAGCTTGGTCTTTCTGGGGACCACCCCCCACCCTGGCTCTCTCCAGGACCCTCAGCCAAGAGCCATCTCATCAGCGTCCCAAAGACACTCGTCACTCACGATACGCCCGGGGTTTTTGGAGCTCAGTGCCAGGAGCCAGGGGCAAAGACCAGACACTTTCTCAGATCCATTAATAGCAACAGTGACCCAATAATTGAAGATTCTGGCCCCTTACTAGAGTCCCACCTGCTCATGAACACTGTGTCCAATCCATCGTCCTTTGAGGATGGTTACATGGCCCGGACACTTAGGAAAATTGCCTAACAGCTGTAGTCAGAGGAGAAATTGAATTCATCCCTAATGTGATGTTGCTGCCCACCTCCCAGCATTGAGAATGACAGTCTGACAAAACCAATTGTTCACAAGAATGTGGACTCGTTCTGTCTCATATATTCCTGGTGGGAAAGTAAGTTGTTCCAAACCTGGTGGAAAATGCATTGGCTGCATTTCCTGCTCCTAGAGACTGAGAGCAGGATGGGGTGTCAGGGGGAGTCGGAGGCTGATTGTCACCGACAGGATGACAGGAGATCACACATGGGACGAGGGAGAGAGTGAAAGGCTCAGAAGGACAGATGGACCAAAAGGAGAGACACCTGTTGGCAAAAGTGTGGAGGAAAGACAATCCCTACCCCTGTTGGTGAGAATGTACTTGTTCTCCAGAAAGAGATTTTCAGCCCTTGTGTACCTCAAACTACCCAACTTACATGATGGCTCCCTTTCACTGGTTGGGCACTCCTACCGTGTCCCCCAATGCGGTGCCACACATGGGCTCTCACAACCAGGAAAGTTATTCAAGATGCCAACGCTCCCACCTCCCCTTTGAAAGAAATAATAAAAGGCGAGGATTTAATGAGGTTACACGGATCTCACATATCTTGGAGTTTAGGGGGAGTCACTCTGCCCCGTGGGACACCTGTACATTTCTGATCAGAGACGGGTGAGATAAGGGAAGCAATTCCATTGGAGGGTAAGGAAATCAGGATGAAGCAGTTGATGTAGAAACACAAAGGTGGGAATGGCACCTAAGTGTTTCTTCTCAAGGAACGCCTAGGGGTACCTGTTCGCAACTCTGGACAGGATTGAAGGGACCACAGGCCTCCAATTCAATTAGTGACTCCAGCGCACTGTCACAGCCTTGACTCCTGTTCTGCGGGCTGACTACGCTCAGAGACCCCTCTTCTGCTCCATGTGACACGGGCTGGGGCGGGGTCATTGGAAGCCCGGCTGGACCAGAACATTCCAGAGGGTCGCTGACGGGGTGCAGCTGGTGCTGGAAGCCAGCTGGAGGTCCTTGGGCTCTGAGATGGGTGCTGCTCCAAGCTGGGACCCTGGCTCCAGGGGCTTGGGCCAAGGGCACAGGTTAGATCCACAGACACCATGTGTCACACCCACAGGCCCCTCATGTCACACTCACAGGCCCCTCATGTCAGACCAACAGGCCCCTCATGTGAGACCCACAGACCCCGCATGTCAGATCTACAGGCCCCTCATGTCACACCCACAGGCCCCTCTTGAAAGACCCACAGGCCCCTCATGTCAGACCCAAAGGCCCCTCATGTCACACCCACAGGCCCCTCATGTCAGACCCACAGCCCCTCATGTCAGACCAACAGACACCATGTTTCAGACCCATAGTTGCAATCTTCTTCATTATTAAAAGGATTTCGTTCCAGACTTTCAGGTTTCGACCTTAAGTTGACAAACACATGGAGTCCAAATGCTACCTTGGAAACATGCAAGTTGCATCTTCTAAATCTTCAATTTGTATCCATTGGAAATCCTCTAATATCATCATACTGGAAACACCACATCCAGATACTAATTATTTAAATGG